CCCATTTGCTCATCGATCATCATATTATTTGTGGTTTTGTACAGTTTTGTACATAGTCAGAAACAAATTGTAAGATTCACTGTCATTTTCCCCAACGCGAAACATTTGCTTTTCGTTTGTGACAATTGTACCATAGGGTACGTTTTATGTGTATGAAAACGTTTCAATTGAAAAGTGAAAAATATTTTTTTCTGTAAATTTTCATATCCAATTCAATTAAAAAACATTTTTATTTTATTTTATTTTTTATTCATTGCAGCCATTCGTTTTGTGTTTAGTTATTGCATATGTGGACATACATACATATATTTTTCTCTACACGATTCATTTCGTTTGTTGTTTCATCTGTAACTACTAAACTACTGTAGTGTACTATCGCCAAAGTGAACTCAGCCGTTTTGTTTTCGTATTGTACCGAACTGTTGAAGTAATATGTAAACGAAACGAAATAGTAACGTACAATATAGTTTATTTTCGTACCCTGTGTGATATCTATGACCGTGGCATTACCGATTGAGGGAGTGAGGCTGAAAAAAATCGTGCATGCGATTTTTTAAGAGCTACCCTAACGTACATACCTATGTACATATTCGCGCATACGATGCCGGCTAGTTGAAAATTAAATTAATTTCGACAAGGCTTATTACTTGAATTCTCAAAAAGCGTGCGTTGATCGAATGTAAATGTAGTTATGTATTTGCATTGCACATTTTAAGGCAATCACTTGCACTTTATGTAGCAATACTTGCGCACTTATAACCGCCCATAACGCAACGGTTACGTACGTATATCGTATCATTGTCAAGGTAAGTGCAATAAAATAAAAAATAAAAAATTATTTATAATTACACTATGTTAGTACACCAACACGTTCTATACATTTAAGCATAATTGGATTCAGTGCTTTATACTTTTGTAAGTATGCATGTTTATAAAAGTGCTTGGTATGTACGAAATGTAAATCTGTATGTAAATACTTTCTAAGCTTACGGTTTTTTAGCGCTGGACTGTGTGGCATCGTCGC